GTTTATATTTTTCTTGAGCATTCTTACCAGAGCTGCAAGGAGACTGGCCTTGCACAGCAGTGAACCCATTCCACAGATGATACAGTCCCAGCCTAAATGAAGGGAGGTGGGGACTTGTACCACCTCAGCAACATGGTCCTCCACCATCACAGGCTGTGCTAAGTCAACCCAGAACCTCTCATGCAAACTCAGCAAGCCCACCCAGGAGACAGGGGCTCTGGTGATGCAGTCTGGGCACATTTTCTAACTGCAGGAGTTCGTGTCTGTGGAGTTCTGCTGGCAGTGATGGTAGGGGAGCAGTCAGTGCTGCTGTTCAACATGGAGAGGAGACCCACACATCATTCTCCTGGTGAATGAAAATGAGATTTCAGTAGTCATGAAGTTTTTCAGGCTGAATTGACTTAAATTACCTCACTGATTACTCTGTGAGGTTGCTGAACTTGCAGGGTTCAGGGTTTGATGCACATTACCCAAAAGGCACTCCTGTCTTCAGACTCAGCACAACCAAAAATCTGAGTGCATAAACACTCAAAAAAGCCACACTGTTTCATTTATCAAACCTTTAATGAAATTTTCCCTGTCCCTAGCTGACTTCTTACTCATTCTTCATCTGCCTTTTTTCATGTAAATATGCTTGTATCCAAGTTACCTAGGAAGACTTTGCTGCAAAGTAATGTAAACCACCTGTTTCAGGCCAGCATACTGGAAAATTCTTTTCTTAGGCTGTCAAGAGGCTCAGCTTTGTCTTAGAATTTACAAACAAGCACATATGCAGAAAGTCAATGGCTTTGGTATAAGGGGCTTTATTTCAAAGTATCAGAACAAGACATTCAGCATGCTAAAATTAGAATTCAAGCTCCAGATCAGGATTTTACATCACTTTTTACAACTGTTACATGGAACAGTGTGGGTGACTGCTCCAAGTTTTAATTATTCATATGGCAAAGACTGTGGCCTAAATACTGGTGTGATCTCTGCCCTTCCTTGTAGTGATGTGTAGAATAATAAATACACATTTACTGGGTTATATTTTTCCAGATGAAATACTTTAAAGTGCTGAAGTACAAACATTGAAGTGTCAGTGAAACTGATAATCCAAACAGTATAATGGGTTTTTTGGATGCTGTCTCTCAAGAGACATTTGATACTGAAATCATGCATCCCTACATGCCTCAAAA